GGAACGTTCACATCGCTGATGTGATCGCTCCCTGGCTCAGCCTTTCTCCTATAGTAAGTACTACACTGGATGAGATCACTCGATTACTTTCGGGAATACATTTATTTGCGCAGGAAATGTATTGTAAATTGGCCATCCCATCACTTGTAAATTCTAACCAAAGTCAATTGAGACGGTATAAAAAATACAGTCGGTTAACAGTCTTTGTGCACCTCGTACGGCCTTTGCAATTTAAGCACACCGCCGACTGTTTACAGGTTGGATTATTTATACCGTTTCAGTTATCTTTGCATAGGGTTTCCACAGTAGCTGCAATATATGGGCACTAGATTAAATTGTAAATTATATATAAATACTAAACCCTCTATTGTTTTGTTCAATTTCAATGAGAAATGGGAGTGGGTGTTACGAATGTAGCAAAAGTGAGTCGTTCACGAAGAACCAAGGTACGAGATGTGTCGTTGTTACGTAAAACTTTCAGTCATTTTTTTCGTAATGAATGCCATTAAGTGATAATCAACCATCAAGTTTATTTAAACGGTCACAAGCGAATGATTGAGAAATCTAAATTTTACTGGACCTTCAAAATATTTATTTCAAAATTTTAAATCTCTATTCCAATTTGTAAGCATCCAATTATGCCGTTGTAATAGGTTTAATTACGCATTTTTCCCAAAGGGGGAAGAAATATCTCCATTAGAAATACGAACACCGATTACCTCGTATTCTCAATATTCCCTACATGTTCTAACTGTATACCAATTTCAAATTCTATTTGAAGTCTCTCAGGGATCATGTATAAAGCTAAAAAATTGCAGTATATAGTTTCTAATGATACAAATACAAACTGTCTATAAATCTTGGCCTAATCTAAGGAATAGTCAAAGTAGCGTGAGTGACTTGTTTAAATGTGTAAATAAATATTTATATAAGGATGTGTAATAATGATATTTGTAATGTACAGTTAATTTTGTAATTGCTACTAATTGTAAAGTTATTGTAGTACTGAATGTTAAGGAGAATTGGGCTTCTAGGAAATGAATAAGGAGGGTATTTTAAGTAGGAAATGTTTAGGCGTTTTGGCAACGTTTATTTGTTTTTGTGTTGTTCAACTTCCCCTTTACACATTTTGCCTGAAACTGTAATAAAACGCAGTCAATAAAAAGAATCATTAAAAATAAAAGAGGCATTTCTAAAATAACCTCAAGTTTGCAACATTAAATTTAATCGGTAGAGCATTATCTCTGACCCGAGAGGGCGTTTGAGAGTGTGGGCTTTTAAAACGGAGCAATTTATTCATGAAATTAATATTGTGCTTTATTGCATTAACATCAACAGTTATGTTGTTTTATTTAGTAATTCTAAAATTCAATGATGTTTGGTGGCATCAATAATTTTATTTTAATTATGAAACTCCACATGACATTGAGAATTAAAACGACATTTTGCTCGAAACTGAAAATCTCTCTGAAGAAGGCCCCATTTATAAACTTGACGTTTGCGTTCGCCGTTACCGTTTGCGTTCCATGCCGCTCGATATTAACCAATTTCACTTCTTGCCGGTGAACGTTCGTAGAACAGCCGTAGTACTGACGTACCAACCAATACCAATTCAGTATTTGGTCGGACCAAATCAGCTGATTGAAAACATTCAATAACAACAAGATAGATCTTAGGTTAAAAAATCAACTGACAGCAAACGGTAACGGCAAGTATGTAAATCGCCTTTTGTAGCGCAAACGGCAACGGTAACGGCAACGTCAAGTTTATAAATGGGTTTTACTCTCTCTAATTACTTTAGGATATTCTACCGTATATTATTTACAGCCCTTAGCATACATACATTTAAGCAAATGAGTGCCAAACCTAAAACAACGCCTAGGAGTCTAAGGAAACGAATGCAAAATAAAGATTGATTAATTTCATGCCAGTTTATTAGGAATTCTTGTTAATCGGCATAGATTTAGGTAGGTGGAATTCCTGAAATACTCAGTAAAGCAGCTCATGTAAATACGATGTAGTTTTACAGTAAATTTTAGAAACAACACATTATTTGATTTTAATGGAAATTTAAATTCAATTTGTAAATTTTGTTTTTTGTTTAACTAGTGTTTAAACTTATCTGTTATGTTAATTTTAAATTGTTGTTACTTTAAGTTATCCTTGTATCATATTAGTGTAATTAGTTCATTATTAAGGAGTTGTAAAATATTATTTTCCAATTTTCATTATAAAATTTTGAAAATTTTTTACATTTGTTTCATTTATCATTACTATCACCGATATTAGTTTTCATCATTCTCACTCCAATTAAAAATAAAGTAAGTATGTGTGGGTATAAAGTAAGTAGGTATGTCGGATAGTCGACCTGCCGAATACAGTCAGGGATCGATTATGTGGGCAATACACATGTTAGATTAGAGGCAAAGTCGACGAATTTAGGCGAGCGGGTTTTGCAATAAGTTCAGCTTTCAGTTTTTCAGCCGCCAATCGCATGCCGTTGATTTAAATAAGCGCAATCCACGTGACGTTAACACAATAATTACAATAATTTGATCATTACTCTTGGCTAACCAGAGCTTCTCATTAAATATGTCCATACATTAGTGATAGTTCTATTTTAATCAATAATTATATTTAATCATTTTCATTCTCAACTAGGAAAAGCCTTTTAGTCTATTCGAATTTCAATCACTTTTACAGACATTCTGATCACTTTTTTTATTGTGCCCCAATCGTTCGGCCAATAGACCAATAGTCAACAGAATTTGATGAAAATTTATGAATTTCATTTAGGTGAAAATAATATACTGTTACAACAAATCTGGTTTAAACATAAATTTTTGATTCAAGTTAAGGCTGACCTGAAGCTCTCGTCTATCAAGCGCACCTTTCCAGCAAATTATATAATTATAATAGATCCAAGCTCATGGTCAAACTTATTTACGTTTTAAATTCGGTAAGTATATTTTTAGAATCCGAGTAGTTTGTTTCCGGACCAAGCAATAGACGCGTGCAAAAAGTCTGTATTCATATTTATAAAAGTTGAGTTTTAAACTACATTTAATTTTATACTATCTAATAACAAGTTAACATTATTCAAACTTGCACGCATCTGAGGAACAAAAAGAGGCAAAAAAAATATCTGAAACGGTTCCGAGAAATGTTCTCGTGTTACTTGTATTTTTCCGCATATTGTACACCCTGTTTGCACGATCTTGCTTGCTGGAAAAGCGATGTCATGTTGCCGCTGATATCGAAATTCCCTTCATCTTCTTATTTTAAATGAACCACCCTGTCCATATCTGCAGGGTTATTCACGCTATACGACACGGACGTTTGCGGCTAGCCCGTTTGTTTCTTGCAAAGTATTATTTGATGGATCCACAGACGCGTATCGGCTGCACATTTTAAACATAATTTTGTAATGTACAGAGTGTCCCAAAAGCCCTAAAAGTATCAAAGTTGTGTGTTTCCAAAACCCTATATATTATTGCATTTTTGGATTATCTGAGCAAAATAAGTGTTTGTTTTAATAAGATTTATAATGTCTAAATCTAAAGGTTTTTTGAATAATTCGAATTTTATCAAAATCTAATATTATTTTCATGTGTCAAATACTTTAGAATTATTTAAGTTATGTAAACGTAATTCGTAATGTAGTGTAACAAAAAATCATATTTTATATCTCAATGATAATAAACTTACCATTTTATACAGGGTGTCTACAAATTTAAACTAATCAAATAAGAACTTTAAGTAGCTATAACTTGATTAATATAAATACAACCCCATATTT